CCACTCGTCCCTCCCTCCCCTCCCCTCCCCTCCCCTCCCCTCCCCTCCCCTCCCCTCCCCTCCCCTCCCCTCCCCTCCCCTCCCCTCCCTCCCCTCCCTCCCTCCCTCCCCCGCTTCACTTGCAAGCTGCTCTCACCGGAGAAGTTGAGCGAGGAGGAAGACAAGTCAACTTCTTTCATCATCGCCCACTCACCGCTCTCGCCTCCTTTCTTCAACATCTCCAACAGACTTCGCTGGCCTCCTGCATCTGTCAATCTCTGACATCCTTCCCTCCTCTTCATACCTCTTGCACTCTCACCCATCCCTTCTTCTTCCTGCTTCTTCTCCTGCTGCTGCTCCTCCTCCTCACATCGCTCCGCTCCAGCCACAGCCACTGGACCCATCCTTCCATTGATAGCTCGTCTCCTGCGGATGTCCTGTTTCCTTCTCCTCCTCCTCCCCCTCGCTGTCCTCGTCGGACTCGATGATCTCTACTCGCTTGTATCCTCCTTGCTGACCACCTCCTCCTCCACCACCACCACCACCACCACCTTGCTGTCCTCCTGCCCCAAGCTCTTGGCTTTGGACGTTGACAGGACCTTTCGGGGCTTGGATTCTCGTCTCCACGTCTCTCCTGTCCTTGTTTCGTTGGTTCTTCACCTCCTTCACAGCCCCTCCCCTTGTGTCTTCCGCTTCTCTTGCGTCTCCCTCCTCTTGTCCCTTGCCTTCGCCCTCTCGAGCCTCTTCAAGCTGCTGTCGCAACCTCGTGACCTCTGCGACTCCTTCGGCCCACCTTTTCTCCTGCGCCTCCACCACCCTTGACAGACTCTCAGCTTAGAGCAGGAGAGGATAGGTAGAAACAAGCGAAACCTGGATGCTTCTTGTTTCTCTTTCGTCAGATCGTCGAGATGCTTCAACTTGATTGCCTTGAGGGCTTCAAGTTGCTTTATGTTCCTCTCAATCTCCTCAATCTGGTCAATGCCTTCCATTATCTTCCCTCCTCCTTCCTTCCTCCTCCTTCCTCCTCCTCCTTCCCGCATCGTCCTCTCCTCCTCCTCCTCCTCCTCCCCTCTCTCCTGCTGGCTGTCACCTCGCATCCGGCAAGGCTCACTTCAGCCTCCGCTCGCTCCCGTCGCGCTTGCGCCTCGTCCGACATCCGGTCGAGCGTCTTCAAGTTCGCTTGCGCGTCGGCCAACCTGCGGGCGGGATGAGGGGCAGGAGCGGTCGCGAGCTTCTCCTCAACACCTCCGACCGAGAGCCTCCACGTCATTCGCCTGGCAACTGATGACGAGAAGACAGACGAGAGGGATACCAGACCTTGCTCTTCTTCTTCTTCTTCTTCTTGCCTGCTGCCTTCTTTGAAATCCTTTCATCCTCCTCCTCTGCGATGAGTTGTTGTGCTTTATGATCCGCCTAAGTGAATGTCACCTCAACGCACCCTCCACGCACAACAGCTCTATCTCAATCCACCACCATCACCACCACCACCATCACCATCACCATCACCACCATTATCATCAGCATCAGCAACAGCACCATCATCATCATCATCATCATCATCATCAACAACAACAACAACAACAACAACATCATCATCATCATCAACAACATCAACAACGACATCATCATCATCATCATCATCATCAGCAGCAGCAGCAGCAGCAGCAGCAGCATCTCCATCTTCACCATCTCGATGTACATCTGCATCATCATCTTCATAATCATCACCACCATCACCATCACCATCACAATCCCCTCAACCCAATCCCTCCTCCCAGCATCCCGACTCCTTCTCATCTTCCTGCTGCTACTGGACCACCAACACTACTATCGTCTACTCCTCAATCTCACATTCATCGTGTCGTTGCCTTCACTCGGGGTCTGCATCCGACATCAAAAAGTTTCAGCCGCCAAGCTCAAGCTCACCTTAGCCACGAGATTCAACGAGCTCCACTTGTGGCACTGACGTGATCAAGTCAACATGGGGACAAGGAAGGTCTTCTGGTCTCTCCCGTCGATCCTCGCGGCTCACCTTGTTTAAAAGAACTTTCTTGAAACGCGCGGCTGTCGGGTGAAGTCGATCGATAAGCGTGAGGGCCGTGGCTTCCTCCTTGTTCTTCATCCATGGGCTCGCTCCTCGTTCAGCCGCTTCCGCCATGGCTCGCCATTCCTTGAGCCTACCATGACATGAGCTGCCAAAAAACTCGCCGTCATCTTCATTCACAGGGCGCAGTGATGAAGAAGCGAGTTGCCGTCCTGGTCGAGGGCGTTGAGAACCACCAGGCCCCTCATCGTCGACGGAACTTCCTGCAACGTGAGACAAGCACAATCACTGAGAATGTCTGCTTCCCCTCTGCTTCCCCTCTGCTTCCCCTCTGCTTCCCCTCTGCTTCCCCTCTGCTTCCCCTCTGCTTCCCCTCTGCTTCCCCTCTGCTTCCCCTCTGCTTCCCCTCTGCTT